GTGCGAACCCTCCCACCAAAATGGGCAAAACGGAAGCGGACGGTGTTTCTTAAAGAGACAGAGGCCAATTTCAAGGTGTTTTGAAGAGGAAGTGATGAGAAGGTTAATTTATTTTCTATTTAAACATAAAAACAGCATTTTAATAACAGCTAAAGGTGACAAAGATACTTTATTATGGTATAGTATTTGCATGTATGCCTGAGAAACACATGATATTGGCCCTTTAAATAAAAACACTAAATAAAATTGCTGACACTGTTTGGATTTTGCTTGACCTTGCCATGTTGGGTGTCATTTTGGTATGTTTTCTTTTCTTTATTTTTTTAATGATACTGACACCATGAAGGAAATAACACCATAACTTGTACTTTTACCATGAAGGAAATAACACCATAACTTGTACTTTTACCATCGCCACTGGCACATTTTTAACAATAGAAATTCACAAGGTGAAAAGTGTCAAATGACTGACAAAATGTGCCAAAAAAAAAATCTCATTTGTCTGGAAAAGCATGAGAAGATTGTAACTTGACACACGCCAAGCCAGTTAAATCAAATTGCTTATTAAAAGGATCATTTTCAGAAGCCAAAAGAAACATGAAACTAAAAAGGTCTCACCTGTTACTGAATGTACCAAAACACAATGAAAACTATTAAATTACATTCTAGAAGAGAAACACATCAGTCTGAGAACCCGGGTAGAAATTGGATAGTGTGACAAGGCAAAAATCCCTGAAATTTAAATAACGTTATAACTTGTCTGGATTGTTTGAATTGAAAAAGTGAAACTTTTAGAAAGTTTTAGCAATTCACCATGGGGATATTAAACCAAACAGGCAGTTAGTTTTGAAGCGTGGAGATGGCAGCTTCAGCCAACTGGCTATAAGAGACAAAACATTAGTTGTGCTGCATCCTAAAGGAGAGCATCAGGTCATCGGTCTGTGAGATGAAGCTCTCCCAAAGATAGGCAGTCAAAGTGAAATGCTCTGCTGGGACTTGAAAACATTTTCAAATCTTTCGTTGTGGGTTCATCCAATGCAGTTTGGCAAAGACGAACAAAATCCACAACTCAAGCCGTGCCACAGAATGAAGCAACTGGTGACAGGAGATTACAAGACTTCTTCGTGACAAGACTTTAAAAAATGGAAAAAAAAACTTGAAAGGGTTTCTTTCAGTATTGATGTTGGCCTCTCCTTTGGAGCCAGTTTGGTATTTATTATTATTTATTAAACGTTCTTTAATCCCATTTAAATCACACATGTTCTTGGTGTGTGGGAGAAACCCATGCAAGCAGGATGAGAACATGAAAACTTTGCACAAAAAGATCTCGGGTCCTGTTAAGATTGTCCTTTTGGTTTGTTTAAATACTGCAATTTTTAGTTTTGGTAATGTTTAGATCTTTTATAAGTCTGTGTTCTCTGTTTGATTCTGTTTTGATGCCCTGCGGTTTCTGTTCTGCCACACCCACCTGCACCTGATTCTAAGTGTCCCTGCACAGGTGTTGGTGGTTTAGTTGGTCTTCATGTAACCTATTGCTTTGTCTGTTTCTCAGTTTGGTATGCTTAGAGTGGTGAACTAGCTGTAAGAACTTAGCATAAAAAATAAGGAAATTCTTTATTTGATGTAATAAATCTTATAATTGGCAGCACTGGGTGGGGTTCACAGGTAAGCTGTTTAACATTGGCAGAGAAGATTTGCCAAATATTTCATGTGTGCAACCCATACTCAGCTCTACTGCTCATCCCACAAATGCACGTTCCTTACAAATGTGGCACCATTTAAAAAGGGAAATTAACAAACTTACAAGATGTATTGCCAGGAAGCATCGTTAAAACAAATAAATAATCTTCCAAACACAAATTTCCTTAGATTTTGTGCTAAATTTAGTGTCCAAGTGACCAAACTTAACTAAATTATTTTATTCATTTTTTTTTTAAACAAAACAAGATTTGTAGATCAGAATGATGCCACCATCTTGGCTCTCGAAAGTACTCATCTCACAGCTTTCTTGAAATTGAACACCTTTGCGTGAG